CGGGCTCGGCGCCCCCAGGGGAAGCGGGGAGCGCAGCTGAGCCCCCTCGGGGAACGAGCCTACCTCTCCGCCGAGAGGGGTGACGCGCCGGGGCACCCGCTGAGGAGCCCCCCGCTGCCCTCCCCCACGGGGGACGCCGTCCCCTCGCCCGGGGCTTGCGCCCCGTGCCTGTGGGTGAGGATGGCCTGGGCTCTGAAGCTGCCGCTGGCGGACGAGGTGATCGAGTCAGGGCTGGTGCAGGACTTCGACGCCAGCCTGTCGGGCATCGGCCAGGAGCTGGGCGCTGGGGCCTACAGCATGAGGGAGGTGGGCTGCTCCAGCCACCTTAAAGGGTCCATCCTGCACCTGGGAGAGGGGCTGGTCGCCCTGGGGAGCTTGGGGTGGGCTGAGGAGCCCCAAAATGCACCTAGAGACGGGGGACCGAGCTGCTCGCCGGTGCGTTTGGCGGCCGCGGTGTCACACCAAGGGACGGTTCAGGAGGGAGCCGGGCGCTCGGCTCCGGCCACCAACCCTGGGAGCTGGTGGCGGCCGCTTGAAGTTGGGATGGAGTCACAGTTGCAAAGAGCCCGTTGGCCGCTCAGGGCTTTGGGGGCTCGCTGGGCAGCCGTTTGGGAGAATGGATGCGCTCGAGGGCGTGGGGCTGCACAGCCCCTGCGCCGCTCTTGGTCTTTGGCCTCCTGATGTCCTCAAACTGCAGCTAAATCACCCAGCGTTGGTCCCACGCTTCTCCTCCGCTTGCTGGTTAGAAGAGCCCGTGGCCGGTCGCTTTGGCTTTATGCAGCGTACGGCAATCGCCCCAGGAGCAGTACATTGTCCTAATTAATTACCCTCCCGGAGGAACACCGGCATGGTTTTTGGGGGGTCAGACTAGCTCTGTCCTTCTGACTCTGAGCTAAACCAGGAGCAAAGGAGAGGAGCAGGACCCCCACGGGGTCAAACGCCCTGCGCATGAGTGCAGCGATCGGGACCTCATAGCGTCGGATGCTCAAACTGTATTGCACAAGTACGTGGCCCGTGCTCTGGAGATGGGTCCCAGCTTGCTTCGCCGCTCTGCCCTCCCGATCCCAGCTCTGGCGTCCAGTCACTCAGCCGAGCCTCCGTGCCGCAGCGAGGCCAAAGCGCTGCATCGTGCTCGCCATTCGAGACCCGGTAACGCCTCGTTTCTGGCTGCCTGAGTTAGAACGGGGAAGCGCAGCCCGTGGATGAGGGGTTGGACTGGACGGGGTCTGCCGAGTCGGCCCGCGAGCGGCCACGCGCTTCCCCGCTGCCATCCTTGATTAATGAGCTCCATCGTGGGCCGGTGCAGATCCAGTGCCATCTGCGAGAGAGCTGCCTTGGTGTAATTTGGGGTGAGAGCTTTATTAGTTCAAACGCGACTGCTGTTCCGCTTGCTTTCATCCTGGGATCCCTATCGGCTGGAAGCGAGGAGGGAGGACGAGATGGATCCCTCCCCGCAGACCCGAGGCAGGAGCCGGGCGCGCAGGCGGGCGGCGAAGGAAGCTCTGGAGGTCGGGGTTGAGGTTAAGCCATCCAGGAGGAGGCTGCCACAGGAGGACGCCTTGACGCAAGACTGGGGCTTTCTGAGGGGACTGCAGCTGGAAACGGTGAAAGTCAGAATTAAAAATGACCCGCCGGGTGACTGCTTACAGTAAAACAGGTTGGAAAGCAACTTCCAGCCCGCTGGCCTTTTCCAGGGGAAGTGGAGGAGCAGCTCTTCTCATCCAGCCTCATCTCTCCTTTCTTCCAGGGACGAGGAGAGCCAGCACCTTCCCAAAGTTACCCCGACCGCCGTTAGGGTCTGTCACAACCTTTGGCGTTTGTTTAATTGGAACGCTCAGAAAAACCGAACCCTGGGTGACAAAGTCCCAAAGGCTGCGAGCTCGGAGGGAGCACGTCCCTCTCCTTTCCCGGCAACAGCAACACCGAGTGCTGCGACCAGCAGCTTTTCGGAGGAGGGATTCCTCCTTCATTACCTTCGATGGGGAGGGAGGGAATGAGTTTCCAATTTAATCTGTGCAGGGGAGGTCCAGCTTTGCTTTGGGGGGGGGGAGGTTGTGAAGCTTCGAAGCTCCTTTTCCTCCCCTTTCCCCTCCCTTTTGGTGAGGGGTCCCGTGCACAAACGCTCCCCTCTCAGAGAGGGCAAGCAAAGGTGTCGTGGATCATGTTTACGTATAGACTTGCCTCCGCCAAGCTAAAACCCATCGGCCGTGCATCGAAAGTTTTAATTGCATGAGGAAATCTTCAGTTAACTTGCAGCTTTGAAGCGTTTACATCCTTTACCTGACCCAGCTGGGTGCCTGTTTTCAGCACCAGAGGTTTGAGGGGAGGTTTCCCGAGGCCACGGCTCTGCACGTCCCCGTGCCGTGCACCAACCTGGCTGCCAAGCTTCTCCACGCCGGTATTACCGGTGCAAAGGGGCTTTGAGCTCCGTGTTGGTGGCGCGGTGGCTGTGCCGCTGCTCTGAGCCCAACCTGCTGCCGAGCTGCGCTCTCTGCGGGGCTTGCTCAGCCGTCTGAAACCCGACTCTTTTTTCGGAGACTTTTCTTGACCTACGCTGCCCGTAAATAGAGCGTGTGCCCCCGTAGGTGAGCGCGCCGACCTTCCTGTCCTGACATCTGACATTTTCTCCCGTGTCGCAGGAAGGGGGGAAAGGTTTCGACAGGCACCTCGCGTTTTGAGAGTGTTTGTGGCTTTTCTGTGCTCGCCCCGTGGGGGTTTTCCGCTTTCATCCCTTCTCCCTATGGAAGAGGCACATTACTACCTTGGGAACGAGCGCTGGTAGGTGGTGGTAGATGATGAGGGCTGTCGCTTGGCTGGAAGCTTTTTCTCATTTGAGTTGCACGGTAGGATTGTGCTTTGCGTTTGTTAACGAACCTGGATTCTTGGTGTTACCGTTGTTCCCTGGAATTAGGTTTTTAGGAGAGCAGAGGTGGCTCTGGAGGTGATAATTGGGCATCGGCTGAATAATTCCATCCGCAGAGTTTTTCTGTAATTACTTTTTTCCCTCTTTCCCAGGAGATTCTCTCCCACCCCAGAACCAGGGGCCTGAAGTGAAGTGTCTTTCCCCAAAAGCATGTTAAATTGCACAGTGAAATACTCTTTTTTTTTTTTTTTAAAGGGAGGTGTGGCCCCGGGGGTTGCAGGAACTCCTCCAGGTGCCTTTGGAGCAGGCAGGACCACGCGTGGGTTTGTCTAAAGAAAAACTCGCCGATGGCTGCTCGGTTTGGCCACGCTGGGCATCGCAGGGAGGTCTCAGGGGGCTGCTCGTGGGGTGTCGGTACCTGAAGGACTCGCAGCTTCCCGGCTCTCCCCAAACAACCCACAAAATGACTGCTCTTGAACTTGGTGGGCCACGGCAGGGTGGCAAAATAACAAAGTGCTTTCTGTGTCGCCGTGAATCGCCTTGCAGGTCGCAGCCGTAGTGTTTTGCTGCCGTTTGCAGGTGGCTGAGGTGGTCCTTCCCCTGGAGATGCCGCGAAGACGTCAGGCCCAGGTGCTGCCGAGCTTTCCCTTGCTGTTTTATAACCATGTTGTCTCTGTAAATATTTAATTCTTTTCTTGCGCCCTGCAATGTGTAAAGCTGACCCTATTACCTGGGCCCTATAGCACAGACACGTAACGGCGTCTGCACGGCCGGAGGTCCCAGCCGAGGGGCTCTTAGCAAAACCCATGGCCGTTGCGATGGTGAAGGATCGCTCCCCGCAGGCAGGGGTGTCGCAGCGATGCTCTACCAACACGTCCGCACACGCAGGGTTGCACCAAAAGCAGCTCTGCTTCCCCAATAGCTGCTTGCAAAAGCAAACCGTCATTTGCTTGATGATTATTCCCGATTAATTGGGTTGGACTCTTGTTCCAGAAATACAGGGATGCAGCTCCCCTAAGTTTTTTTTTTTCCCCCTTCTGCAGCTTGCAATAAAAAGTGGGTTTCAGGTCGTGGTTATGTGGGGTCTTAGCGAACGCAAATCTAGAGGCTGGACTTGGGGAGGTTTTGCAGGGATGGCTCTGCCGTTCCTCTTGGCAGGCGTCCGAGCGGTGTTAGTGGCCGTGTGGAGCTTCTGGAGCCCTGCAAAGCAGCTTGTGGTATTACAGCAGACCGCTGTGCTGCGTAATGGGGATCCAGCATCGCGTGAGAGCTCCGCGTGCACGGGAAAAGTGAGTGAAAAAGCCGGGATGACAGCAATATGCTGGCTCACCGTGCTGGGAGAACACGGTTGAGCTTTTCCTCTTCCTCACCCAGACTCTTTTTGTGCGAGGCAAAGCAAAAACCGAGGTGTCCCGAGGCTGCAGAAGTAGGATTGAATCATTGCCGTGTCAAAGCCTACGAGGAAAACGAGCGCTCTTGTGTGCAGAAGAAGTGCGTCCTGCGTTCCTCCAGCTGCCGGGAGAATTTGTGCAGGGCGTAGCCTTTAAATTAATTTTCCCGTCTGTCTGGGCGCAGCAGGTTAGTGCTGGTTTTCCCCGTCCTCGCGCCTTCTTACAGGGATCAGGAACATCCGTGCTCCGTCCTGCCTTGGCAGCCTGCTCGGGCGAGAAATCCTTCTGCGGGAGGAAACGCCGTTCCTCTGCTAATGAGGGGGAGCTGCAGGGCAGTTCGTCCTCCGGGTTGTGTAATTTGCCTAATTGTGTACACGCGCCTTGATGGGTCGTCGATGCCGAGACCGGGGCATCCGCGTGGCTCTGTGTAATGTCTGATAAGTTGGGATTTGGGCGGGTAAGGGCTCTCCTGCTCGGGTTTGGGCAGCAGTGATAGGCGTTACTTGCACAGCGCTGGAGGAAGGGTGGATAACTGGTCTCTTGAGACCAAAGGGTTAAAGCCCTGTTAGGGTGGGAGCTGGTATTTGGCCAGGTAAGTCCAGTTTTAACTTGGGAAAGGTTTTTAATGTTTGACTAAAGGGAAAAAAAAAAAAAGCTGATTTAACTCCTCCTTCCTTGCATTCCCGTGAGCCCAAAGCCTGTAACGGGAGGGGCAGGCGACCTGACTCTTCATCAGGGCTTAGTGCTTCGCTGCTGCCCTTCAGCGGGACCCGAATAGCTCTGTCCCCATGCCGCGTTTCACCTGGGGGCGGTGGGATGGTGCTGGGTGGCCCCAGCAGCCGATCTGCAGCTCTGCGGTCCCATCCGCGCTCGAGCGCGTTTGCCCGGGCTCTGCTCGTGTGGATGAGTGGGAGGATGTTCTGGTTTATGCACTATGGAGTAATTGCTCTTGGCCATTGTTATGGCTCAAAACAACTGCTGAGAGTCAGCTTCTGAAACAATTTCAATTAAATACGTGTCTGTACGCTCAGGGGTATCGCTGATGGCTTTTAAAGTAACATTCAGCAAGTTCTTGTTGCCACGTGGCCTTTTGAGCGTGGAAAAGCATCCGAGTTTGCAGGAGAATGGAGACGGCGAGCTTTTTGCGTAGTTGCAATGACCTGGAGACATCCTTCTCCCGGGAAGAGTTGGTAGCACGGGGCTTGAACACCCTCGCTTTTCCCAGCCAGCACCGAGAGCGGCGTGACAGCATCCAGAGGACGAAGAGCCCAAGCTCGTGCCAGCTGGAGCAGCTCCGTGCCGCTCTGTGGCACAGTGTGGAGCTCCCGTATAACTCATCTCGTATAACCTGATGGCCAGGAAGGTGCTCGGGCTGGTTAATGGTTTGTGGCGAAGCTATCCTGATGGCTCTCCAGGGCAGTTCCTCCTGTCGTTAAGTGCAGGCTGGGCAGGAGTTAAATGCAGGCCTTCGGCAAGAGGCAGACCTGTAAGGTATAAAAGAGGTGCCTGCAGTTGTCTCAGAAACCTGGGTCTGGTCTCTCCCACGTCCCGTGGCGTGGGGACCCACGGCGTGGGCTGTGTCACCAGTGACACGCAGTATCTTCTGACCCCCGTGGGCATCCCAAGCTCTTGGTTTGGGTCAGGGCTGGCTGGTTGTGTGGTGCCCAGCACAAAGGGCTCTTGGGTCTGGGGGCTTGTCGATGAAAGCTTTGGGAAAAGCTGGGGGTCTTCCTCCCGCTGCCTCTGTGCCAGAAGGGCTCTTTCCGCGCGGGAGCCTGCAGGATTTGCTCCACCGAGATGCTTGTGTGCGTCATGCAGCAGTTGCGGCTGCGGGAGGGAGGGTTTGGAGCTCTGACTCTGCGTCCCCCCCTTCCGATGTGCCCCGTGGTCTCTGCCTCCACTTTAGCTGACACCCCTGCTCACTGGGGCGGTGGGGGGCTTTTATAAGCACGGAGGAGGCGATGGCAAAAAAATTGGCGACCTTGACCTGAGCAAGACTTCAAATTCCTGCCAAGCCTCTCCTGGAGGGCAAACAAGCCCCTGGCCGCCCTGCTTGGACCAGGGGAAAGGGTTAGGGGCCAGTTTGCTGGCGGAGGTGAGCAGGCCAGTACCACGAGGAAGAGGATGGGCGTTTATCGGCGCGACACGGATGTCGTTCTGCAGGCGTCTGTCTTGTGCATCAGTGCAGAGCTGCTGCAAAATGGCGCAGGAGTCGCGCTGCCGGAGGAGCTGGGCTCCAGTCTGAAACACAAACTCTGTTGTCTCTTAGCTTCGAAGCAAGAAATGTGTGGGTTTTGGGAGGGTAGGGAGGCTAACTTGAAAAAAGCTTTAGCAAGAGCAGGTGTCAGGTCCTCTTCTCAGACTACTCGGTCTGCTTTAATGCTCCTTTGCAGTTCTGCAGAGAGATGTCAGGGTATGTGGGGTTTTTTTTTAACTAAAAAAAGCTCAAAGCTCTTCCAGGAGGAGGAACTAAATACCAAATGCATCATCCCTCTGTAGCCAGAGCTGAAATGAATCTGTCTTGACAAATCTCTTTGCAGCGACGTCCTTGCCCTGCCTATCTTCAAGCAGGAAGAATCGAGTTTGCCTCCTGAAAACGAGAACAAAATTCTGCCTTTCCAGTACGTGCTGTGTGCCGCCACTTCCCCTGCCGTCAAGCTCCATGACGAAACGCTCACCTATCTCAACCAAGGTGAGAGAAGCCCCGTGTCCTGCGCAGGCCGTGCACGCCTCGTGTAAACACCCTGAAAAAGAAAATTCTGCCTTTGGAAATTCCCCCTTGGGAACAGAAAGTGCCTTGATAGTAAACCCCAGGTTGCTCCTGTTTGGAAGCACCACCTCCTTCGCCTTGCTGCCTGCCCTCTGCTTACGGCGGTGAATCGCCTGTAGGATTTAACCTAATTAAAATCTGCGCGGTGTAAGGTGGTTAACTGACGTATCCGTGCCGGGGTGCTCTGCAGCGGGTGTGTTTTACAGGTTCAAGCTGTACCTGCTGCTTTCAAGTAGAACTGGAAGATCAGGGTTGGCGACCAAAGCCAGATGAAGCTTGTGTAATCGATTTCTTCCCTGTTCTTGGTCTTGGGGTAATAAGGGTAATTCCTGGAAAGTACTGCTGCAGGAAGGGGGAGGATTATCTGTTCCTGGAGAGGGGTGTTAGAGCTGTGGCTCTAATGGCTCGTGCTCCTATGACCCCCCACTAAAACATGGCCGGAAGATCAAGTGGCGTGTCTGGTGTGGCAGAAGATGTCAAAGCGCCAGAGGAGGGGCGGCAGCCAAGGTCCATCCCCAGACTAACCACCAGGTGCCCTTGTCTTCTTTCCCTCAGGGCAGTCCTATGAAATCCGGATGCTGGACAACAGGAAAATTGGGGAGTTGCCAGAGATAAATGGGAAACTGGTAAAGGTAAGCGGAGAGCACGGGGACGCATGTCCAGCTGGAGCCGTCCCCTGCCGTAGGGAGCAGCGAGCGAGGTCTTGTCCTGCGTTCCTGCAGCGGCCTCCGTGACAGCGTGTGTGGGATAGGTCTGGCTTGGCTGGGGGTTTATTTTCCCTTTCCCCTTCTCCCACCCTGTTGAGACCAGCCTGGCTGGTGGTGCCCAACCAGTCTCCTGGGGTCAAGCCAAGAGGCGATTGCCGATTGCTTAGCGTTCGGGAAGGATAAGCTGCCGCCTTCATGCTTCCGTCCCAAAGGTCCTTCTGGGCTTTCTTTGTCTCCTCCGTGAAGCCTTCAGGCCCCTCAGCTCCCCTCTGAGAGTGGGAAATGCCTCGCAGCTTGAAGACTGTCGGGTTTCCTGGGGCAGCCCCAGGCACTGACTGTTTCTTCCCCTCTAGAGCATATTCCGGGTGGTGTTTCATGACCGGCGGCTGCAGTACACAGAGCATCAGCAGCTGGAGGGCTGGCGGTGGAACAGGCCTGGGGACAGGATACTGGACATAGGTGAGTCCCCGTGGCAGCACCTTGGCTGGGGCTGGAGGAGATGTGGGTGCCTGAAGTGCCTCCGGCCGGGCTCCCGGTCCCTTGACTTTAAGGGACAAAACGCTGTCACGATTCTGCACTTTGAGAGACGTGGTTGGTTCTTCCATATGTTCCCTGAGAATCTCTTCCTTCTCCTTCTACTACAAACCGCAGCTTGTTCTCCGTATGTGCCCCTACAGATATCCCAATGTCCGTGGGCATCATTGACCCTAGAGCAAACCCAACCCAGCTCAATACAGTGGAGTTTCTATGGGATCCTTCAAAGAGGACTTCTGTGTTTATCCAGGTAAAAGAGGAGAAGTGGGGAAACTCCTGTTGCGGGGGCCTAGGGGAAAAAAATAAAAGTTTTCCAAGGGGGAGAGAGGTGCTTTTTTGGCTCAGAGCTCTGAAATAGCAGCCAGATGCTACAGTGGTAGAAGGATGTCAACCGCAATACACCCTACCTCCTGCCTCAAGCAACGCAAGAGAGCAGCAGTTCATGCGCTAGCAAGGCACAGGCACAGCTGACCACCAATAAGTTGTTTTACACATTTTTGTGGTGGCTTTAGGTCCCGCTGGTTTCGTGATTTGGGTCTCCATCTTGCTTAGATGCTTTTGCACATCTCGCCAGCTGCCTAAAATACCTCTTGAAGTCTGGCCCTCCCGCCTAGAATAAACAGGCTGCAGCGCGTGGAGGCTGGTGCAGCTGAACTCTCTGCCCTGCTGATCTGGGGCTTGCCTGTAACATGGAGAGGTTGCAAAACTCGTTGGAAGAATGTGACTCCACCTCTGCTGTGGCATCCCCTTAACTCCTTAACGCTGGGGGTACTCGGTGTGGTCCCATCCCAGCTCTGTATTTCGCCCTTCTCACCGGCTTGCCCTTCACGCGAGCGCTGTCCTGGCTCCCACGAGGGGAATGGGAAGTTTGTGGTCAGTCAAACACGGCAGAATTACTAACCGCAGGATGCCTTGCCTTCCCCCAGGTTCACTGTATCAGCACGGAGTTCACCATGCGGAAGCATGGAGGAGAGAAGGGGGTACCTTTTCGGGTCCAGATAGACACGTTTAAGGAGAACGAGAACGGGGAGTACACAGAGCACCTGCACTCTGCCAGCTGCCAGATCAAGGTCTTCAAGGTACCTCGGCCCGTTGGTGTCCTTTCCCCGCTAGGAAACAAACTGGGAGTCAGTCCCAGTTCACGCTGCAGCCCCAGTGAATGTCACGGGTGCAGGACGGTGGCCAAGCTTGCCTGCAGAAGGGCCTCTTGGTCCTTCTGGTCTTGCGTTGCCGTTCTCTCCCTGGTTCCTCTCTGTCGATCGAGTCTGGATGCCGTCGAGGCTACAAAACCAGTAAGCCAAGAACAACGTACAGGGAGAACGTGGGTTGTGTTGCCTCTGACTGAAACCTCCCACGTTTAGTCCTGAGTCTTATCAGCTTGGGAGATCCTCCGAGGAGCTTTGGCGTCTGTCTAAACTCCTTGCTTTATTATTACCTGCATCTGATGGTCGGTCTGCATCTGATGGTCCGTCTGGATCCGGCCTCTCCAGCGGCGCAGGCGTCTGGTGCGAATCGTTTGCAGAAACCCAAAGCCACGACCTGGCGGTGGCAGCCACGGCAGCACCATGGCGTGGGTGGCTGAGAAGGGTCGTGCACGCAGCAGCGCCCAGGTGTCGTGCCGCAGGGGCGGCTGTGCAGGGAATAAGTGGGGGCATGCCGTGCCCACGCTGTCTGGCACGCTGAGGTTGCCTCCGTTACCCCGTCCTCCCTGTAACACCACGTGAAATCTTGGCCGTGGCTCCCCTGTTCTTCTCCCTCCAGGGGCACTTGGCACACAGCGGGGTCGGTTGCCCGGCCGGGCGCCTGTGCTCTTTGCAGTCCTGCCATGAAGTTGCTGTGGGATATCGGGCAGCATGACCCGCTGCTGTTGACTTGGCATCTTTCCCCTTCTCTCTCTTCTCTTTTGCCTATTTGGATTATAACGTTTCGAAGGCAGGGGTGTGATTTGTTAGGGCTTGTTTGAGCTCTGGCTGGTATCTCGATGCGAATAGCCTAAGCGGATGGCTGCGGAGTTGGGAGTTAAGGGATAAAGCTGGTCGCAAACGAGCACCCGGAGGACTGAGACTACGAGGCATCTGGCGCTGTGTTTCTACTGAGCTTCAGCTCTGCGTGCCAGGGGATGGGGTGGATTTTTTTGGCTCTGATGACCTTGAACCAGGAAAACCCAAAGCAGTGAAGCTGTGGCTTCAGGCACAGTCTCCCTGCAGAGGATGGTCTCAGATGGTCTCGGCCTTCTCTCCTGCTCATTTGACGCAGCCGCTCTCCTGGGGTCGGGGCCGCTGTTTGGGCAGCAGGCTCAACACCGTGTGTGTGTTTCCCTGTGCCTGTGTGAGACCTGTTCGCCGCAGGCTGTCCTTCATCTGTGGGTTAATGTGATTCGGGCTCCTGCCCTGCTCTTTCCTTTCTCCCCTCTGCCCCTCAAAGCTGGGAGCGTTTCAGTGCTTTCGAAATAGCCACTGAGGGCCCCTTACCCACGCTCGTCGGTGCCTGGAGCACAGATCCTTTCTAGCCTCCGGAGAAGCACGCTGACCATGGGATGATAAGAGCAACCATTAGATTTTCACGGCAGGAACTGGCTAGTCAAGCCACAGCTAAGCAGCACCTCCTCGCCCAGCTCGGAGCATGGTGGTAGTTTGTTCAGGTCTCAGTTTTGCTGTCCAGAGGAAAAGAAATTTGGAGCTTGGGAGAGCGGGAAGGCTGTGGTGCCCGGCTGTATTTGCAGTCCTAAAACTTTCCCACCGGTGCCATGGATGCCGCTCACCCTCTCGGGAGGCGTCCGCATGTTGGCAGGCAGCTGTGTTGGTCCACCGAGGCCAAATTCCTTTTGCTTGCGAGTGCAGGCAGAGGAGCCAAGGCAGAGCCTGTGCGCAGCCAAGTTTTAAGGGAATTTCTTTAGGGTTCTGCCGAGGGGAGCACCGGGATAGCTTTGGTGGTTATCTCGGCACTCTCTTCCTTGCTGTTTTCCCCAGAGCCTTCAGCATTCGATAAAGGCAGCAAGTAAAATCATCTTAATCTTGCATACGAGAAAGCGCACGGTTTTTCAAGGTCGTGGCAAAGGCAAGGACATAATTGAGCTCTCTCATGTTCTGGTGCAGTTTGTGCCACTGAAATGCTGCCTCTCAAAGTGGTTGATGAAGGTGCAGAAGACGCAGCTCAGATATGTGACACCAGAAACCGGCCTTTGTCCCCCTAGAGGCAACGTATGCTGTCGGGAGAAGTTTCTTCTGAAAAACATTTCCCCTCCTCGTTCAGATGTTCTGGGCCCCATTTTAGGGGCGTGGGTAGATCAGGATACTGGGGTTGTTAGAGAAGTAATGCTGTCACCGTAGTTAATTCTCTGTGCAGATAGTCCCAGCCCTCTTCCTTTTCCCTCTGCAAAGCAACAAGGGGGTGAGTAGAAGGATGAGTCACCTTTTCTGCTTCTTGCATTTCTTGCACATCTATCCAGCTGTCTGCTGCCGCCCTTCCATGCTGCTGTTCTAACAGGAATATCTCCTTTCCAGCCCAAAGGAGCTGATCGGAAGCAGAAGACGGACAGGGAAAAGATGGAGAAGCGGACGCCTCATGAGAAAGAGAAATACCAGCCTTCCTACGAAACTACGATACTCACAGAGGTGGGGTGTTCTTTCCTGCAGCGGCTGGCGTCGTTGTTTTAACGAAACCTGGCTTACCTCACTCGCAGGTGGCAAGGAACTGGCTGTTCTGCTTTGAAACGTTTGGCCAAGTTGTTAATAGCTGAAGACAAAAGCAAGATAAATTTTGTAGGCAGAGGAGGTGTTTCTTACTAGACCTGAAAAAGGACCCTTGTGCCTGGAAACATGATGGTTTTTTCCTCACTGTAATAGATCATCTAATAAAAGATTTTTACCTCTCCCTGCAAGCTTTGTTTTGCCCATGTGGCAACTGGCCCCTGGGGTGGTGAGCTGGCAGAAAACCCCGTTGTTTCCTCCTTGTGCTAGTGGAAAGTGTCGGTCTGTTAAAATGTGATCATCTGAGGGGTCGGTGCTGAACAGCCCCGAGGAGGGAGCCCTTGTCCTGCCCCGGGTGAATTTGGGGACGCTTGTCAGTGCCCGATTCAGGCTCGAGCCACTGTGGGGCTTGCTGCACGGAGGTGCCTAGGCTGGCAGGCACCGTGTGTGTCAGCCCAGTGCCAGAGCGATGGTTTAGATCCCAGATCTCACCGCGTTGGAATTTTGTGACTTTTGAGATTAAGAATCACTAAATCTGAGCTTTGTGACCATCTGCAGTGGATTGCCGTGGCTTCTTTTAATCCCCTACTTTATTCTTTAATTCTGTTTCGTAGTCGGTTGTTGGTCAGCAGATAGCTGTTAACCTGTGCTGACCAGAGCAGATGTGCACGCTTGTTCAAAGCAATCCTGTGACCCTTCTGGGTTTTCCTTTCTAGTGTTCTCCCTGGCCAGAGATAACGTACGTCAATAACGCGCCATCCCCTGGCTTCAACAGTTCCCACAGCAGTTTTTCCATTGGCGAAGGGTAAGTCCGGAGGAGAGGCTGGCTGGCTCTCGATTTCTGCCTTGCACGAGAGATTGATGTGTCTGAGCTGGCGGTGACCGCTAGCGAAAGGAAGGGCCTGGTTCCAAGGTGTACAGGGGGTGGAAGCAGCCTAAGAGGCCGTGTCAGTGGGGGAAAAGCGAATTAAAGCTCTTGAAGCTGAGCGCCATTAACCTCTCCCGGCTGCAGCAGAGCTCGGCTCTTGCACCAGAAGCCTGTGTGCATTTGAGCAGCGGTTTAGCTTCCAGCCTGCTTCGCTCTGTCTTTCCCCATCATGTTAATACTCCCACGCAAGCCGTTCATTCTTGCAAAGTATCGCGCTGCAACAGTGATGGTGTTGCCGCAGCCACGTAGCCGTCTATCCCTGGGTTTCGGTGGTCTTGGTTATGGGACTTGGAGGGTGGTGGTTGCTGCCTGCCGGGATCCCGTGCCGGAAGGGGAAGAGCGGCGCTAACCTCGTGTTCTGCTCTGTCTGGCTCTCTTCCCCAACCTAGCAATGGCTCTCCAAACCATCAGCCCGAGCCACCCCCTCCGATCGCAGATGTAAGTCACACCTCAGAGCTTATGCTTGTGGTAAGGATGGTGCACAGGTCAGAAAACGGGATTTTGGGATGGAGCGGGGGTGGGTTCGAGGGTGGCTGTAGTTTGCTGGGGAAGAAACTGCTCTAGTTTAACATCTTTGGGGAGTTATAACTTCTTTTTGACTCCTAGTTGGAAAAAGAGGTCACAGGGTGAAAAATGTCCAGTACAGCGATGCGGAGCTGTGAGCAAGCTTTTTGTAGTTCGCTGTGACCTTTACTTATTGCCTTGATCTTCACTGTGCTTTCCCCTTTGTTTCCTTCCTCTTTCTCTGTCCCTCTGAAGCCTTTTAAATCAAAACCTGTCCAGGCTGCAGCCTTGATTGTGCGCGTGCTGCGAGCCTGGCTCACTAGGGTCTCGATTTAAGACTGTGATTATAAACACTGACTGAGCTGTGTTCATTCCTCAGTGGAAATGCTTCCCCGTCACCTCTGAGGCCGTGACCCTTCTTTTCCTACGTTGCAGAACCTCTTGCCCACCAGCACACCCCAGGAGGCCCAGCAGTGGCTGCACCGAAACCGCTTCTCCACTTTTTCTCGGCTTTTCAGAAACTTCTCAGGTAAGTTACGGCGTCCCCTCCGTGTCTGCCCCTTCTCTGTGCTGAGTCGCTCTGCCTCCTCTTGCTCCTGAGGCCATCTCCATGTTACCGTTGCACATACAAATGTTTTTGAAAATCTCGTCTTTTTTGTAACACAATAAAACGTGGCTCCCTGAAAGCTGTGTTCTTCATTTCTCACCTTGCTCTCAACTGGCAAAATAGTGGGGACTGGGGTGGTTTCTCTTCCAAGAGCTCACAGCACCCTCCGATCTTAAAACAAGCTGAGAAATGCTGATCTGAGGGAAAGCACTGTGTGTAAAGAAATGCTTCGCATTTATTTTCCTCTCCTTCCCTGGTGATACGGCCTCCGTTATCCAGGGTCGCCGAGGCGCTGGATAGCCGGCTGTAAATGATAATGCGGGACACAGGGTTGTGCCGAAACACGCTCTTGCAAAACCAGTCTGGAAAAAAATCTTGCGAGTGTCCTTCTGGGGGAAGCAGGGGGAGGTTGTTAGCAGAAGGCAAAAGCAATTTGGGAACGGGGTGAGCTCTGCGAGCGGGAGGAGGGGAAGCTGGCACAGCTGCGGTGCCCAGAGCCCCCCCCTCATCCTGGACACTTTGGGCTGGATTGTGTGACTTTCTCTCCTTTTGATTTTTAAAACTGTAGGTGCAGACTTACTGAAGCTGACCAGAGAAGACGTTATCCAGATCTGTGGCCCTGCAGATGGCATCAGGCTCTTCAACGCGTTAAAAGGACGGTATGTTGTTTGCTTAAAAGCCGATTGTGGATGGTAGGTAAATTGTGTTTGTTTTAGCCTGTTTGCTTGGCTCTTGCTATTAGAGAGAACAGAGTTTCATTAACCTTCCTGAACCTCTTTCAGTCAAATTTGATAACTTAGCCAGCAGGGTAACCACTCCGGAGACAATTTAGGGAAGAAAATCCATGTGGGAGAGAAGCGTTAGAAATTATCCTACTCTTTGAGTGTCAGAGAATCCAGCCACAAGCCAGAAAGTCCTGCAGATACAGTACTTGTTTCCTCTGTCCTCTGAACCACCTCTCAGTGGAGTTACCTTCCCAGAAAGGGAATATTCCTTTGCGCCTTTCCCCGAAGAAGCAGGGACTGGTGTTTCACTGACCTCCTGTCTGAGCTGGAGCATTTCAGAAGGTGCCGCTGCAGCCGGCCAGAGAGGCACAGGGCACAGGGTGGGCTGTATTTGGGAGGGAAGGTCTGGGGAGGCATTGGTGCGGGTTTCTGATATGCGGCTGCAAGAGCTGCGCGGGTGGGAAGCGTTCCAGGGGGTTAATGTACTGCCTCCGATGGCTGGGGAGATAGCGGGGAAACGCAGTCGCGCTGCGCTGGGGAGAAGGGCAGGAAGGACGGGAGACGCTGCCGGCTTTTGCACTGCAAAATGAGACTCTGAACGAGAAGGAGCGTGCGTGTTACCAGCAGAGCTCGGTGTGGACCACGGCCGCTCTGTCCTCGGGAGCGGACCGTCCGAGTTAGCTGCTCGGTAGCCAGCTGGCACCATGTCCCCATGCCGACTTCGTCCCCTTCTCACAAAAACCTTTGCTGCATCAGCAAGGTGGGGACGACCACGATGGTTTTGCTTCAAGATGAGTTTGTCGATCTCCTCTTTTCCTTCTGAGGATACTGGGGAGGGAAGAGCGCTGGCAAAGTGTCGGGAGCTAGAGGCGTCCTTGAGCAAATCCGATGGTGCTCACTCACTGTTCTGTCCATAGGATGGTGCGGCCCAGACTGACCATCTACGTGTGTCAGGAGTCCCAGCAGCTGAGGGACCTCCAGCAGAAACACGAGGACGGGGACACAGTAACCAGTACTTTTTTTGGTAAGGGCTTTGAAGCCTGACTGGGGGCACGTGGGCTTGGGTTGCTGCCGACAGGGCGAGGAGGGAAAAATAACAGCCGGGGGGTTCAGCAAACCAAAATGCAGCGGGGGCTGTTGCCAGCCCTGCTGCTGCCGCCCACAGGCGCTCAGCACCAGCTGCCTCTGATCCCCTCGTCCCCACACCACGCTGCCCTGTGGGTTTTGGGCTGGCGAAAGGCCCCTCTCGCAGCCAGGGCTGCTTGTGTTAGCAGAGCCCACTGAACCCGCACAGCAGCTCAAAGAGGGTCTGTGGCTTTTCCTTTCAGCTGCTGCGCCTCGCGTTGGCTGCTGTCTCTTATCTCTTCACTGCAAGGAGGCAGCGAGCTCACGTGCGAGCTCACCTGCAACCTAACGCAGGCTCTGTACACAAACCGACGGGTTGTGCGCGCTCTCCTTTGGTAAGGGTGCCAAAAGATCACGGTGAACCCTTTTTACTTGCCCTGGTCCTACCCAGCTGATTGTTCTCCTTGCCCGCCAAACGGGTGGCTGCAGAATCTGACTGTCGGCATGTTGCCTGCTCTGAGCTGACAAATGATAGCTCCTGCGAGAATCCAGCATTGCTCAGACAACAATGAGTGACCTACATTTGTGGAGCAGCCAGGCGCCGGTTTATCCACCTCCGTGGTTGGAGCGGCGAGCGCAAAAGCAAACAGCTCGTCGTTTCCTTGCTCTGCTCCAATTCAGATCCTCTCGCTTCGCCCCAGGACCTGCCCTTGTGGGAGTGGGGGGACTGGGGGGGGCTCTGGGGAGGTGCTAGGGCGGTGTTTCCATCCTGCTGGGATTGAAAACCACCAGGAATGGTACGAAACGCTGCTGGTCAAAATAGAAGCTTTTTGGGGCAAGGACTGCATAAATACCGAGCAAGCATTGCAGGACATTGATGATGGCCAGGTTACTGTGGAGCTGAGGCTCATGTAGCTCCGGGCATGCTGCAGCCGTGCAGCAAGAGCAGACACCAGAGACACGCTACATGTAGATTTAGCAGCTTGGGCTTGGAAAGATGGTAGCTGTGTGAGTCGGGCGCAGCAGAGCGGGTGTTTAACCTGCTGAAAACTTTTTGGGGCAAGGACTGCATAAATACCGAGCAAGCATTGCAGGACATTGATGATGGCCAGGTTACTGTGGAGCTGAGGCTCATGTAGCTCCGGGCATGCTGCAGCCGTGCAGCAAGAGCAGACACCAGAGACACGCTACATGTAGATTTAGCAGCTTGGGCTTGGAAAGATGGTAGCTGTGTGAGTCGGGCGCAGCAGAGCGGGTGTTTAACCTGCTGAAAAGCAACTCTGGATAGATAGGCTGTGCGCAGTCCCTCCCCAACGGGGCTGTGATGTTCCTGGGCAGAGAGCAGCCTGTTCACGGCACGCCTCTAAGCATCCGCTCCCTGGGTTAGCGTGCATGGCGTTAGCTGAAGTGCCTCCGCTTCAGTGTAGACATCAAAGCTGCGCTTGGCGTCTAGCTATAACAGTTCTTCTCCTCGCAGTGTACCACGCTATTTATCTGGAGGAACTGACGGCGGTGGAACTGACAGAAAAGCTGGCCCAGCTCTTCAGCATCTCTTCCCAACAGATCAGCCAGATTTACAAGCAAGGTCCGACGGGGATACACGTGCTGATCAGCGATGAGGTAACAGCCTCTGGGTGCTCCTTATTTTCGACCTCTTGCGCTGGGTTGCTTCAGCTGGTTCGTGTCTGATTGTGCTCTGAGCTCCGCTGTGGAGGTTGCGCAGGACCCCGGGGAACGGGTCCCCTGGGCAGGTTTTCAGGAAGGGCCCTGCTCAGTCGCCTCCCGTTTCCAAAGGGTCGGAGTTAATCGTTGAAGCCTGTAGAGCCACGGATGTTGGCGCCTGGGGACGCTGCTCTGCTGCCGGGGGCACCTCACTTAAACCCGTGGGGTTTATCAGGCGTGAACAGCTCTCCCTGAGCTAGTCCAGGTTGCGTGCACGCCCTCCTTCATGCTTGGGTTTCTTCTAGCTTTGCTATAAAAACAGGGAGGGGAATTGCTGTGGGAGCACTTTGCTTTCAGACCTGCATCCCAGAATCCGATGGTTTCTCTCTCGGCTTGCTGGTTCGGACGTTCAGTTCTGGAGAGCTGGAGGAAGGAATAAATATTTATGGCTGGTGCCTTTCCTACCTCCCAGAGCACTAAGCTCCTGCCTGAGCAGCTTCTAGCCCTTTGGTACTCTAAATCTGTGCCCATCGCTGAACGGCAGAACACAAAGCCTTCACTTAGGGCTGTGAAGCACTTCTGCTGTGGTTAAATACAGCCTCAGACTAAGCTGGCTTTCGTGGCTTCTTTCAGATGATACAGAACTTCCAAGACGAATCCTGTTTCGTTCTGGACACCATGAAAGGTGCGTAAATGCCCGGGCTGCGTCTTCTATTTCCCTTCCTTACTTCTTGGGGAGCTCTTGTGTCAGATCTGCTCAACCCAGCGGATTCCTTTGCTGTTGCAGGTGGCTCATGAGCTTTGCTTCTTTTGCAGCTGAAACCAATGATAGCTACCACATCATCTTAAAATAGGAGGGGACGGGATGAGGAACACCCGTGATCCTCTCGTCGCACACGAAGACCCTTCACTTCCAGCACAAGGACACGAGCAGAGATCTGGAAACTCCTGGGCACCCTCTGGAAAGACCCCGAGCTGTTGGTTACTCGGCTGTCTTTCTTGCAGGGGACCTCCTTGCTCTGACGGCATCTAAACGGCCGTTGATGGTAACGTGCTGCTTAATTGCTGGAGCTCTGAGGCTTGAAGTTACCAGGTCGCACTCTTGTGTAGCTCTCGGTAGAAATTTGCCATTGGGACTTAAGACCTGCGTGAGGGCTTTTTCTGTGGCAGGTGTGCTCTGCTCTTCTGAGAGGCATCAGCTCCCATGACACTCACAGACTGGCAAGACAACATGAATTAAACTGGCCCAACAAAGCCAGCTGGCCCTCGGGCACGTGCTGAGCTGAGCAGGTCTCAAATACGCTGCGTACTGTGCTGATGGAGTGGTAGGCTAGGGCTGGGAGGGATTTTCTTAAAAGATTTTGTTAAGCTTTCATTTAATATTACGACGCGTCTGTTAGACAAAGGTGGTGACTTCGTTTTTCTCCTCTCCACCCACCCCGAAAATGGCGTTGGCTGTGTTTGTGTGCGGGTGTGGTGCCATCCTTCCCTTGCGAGTGTAAGGTCGTCAGGAACTTTATAGACAGATTTAGTTGTATAAAGCCGGAGCAAAACGTGGAGTAAAGCGGAGTTGGATAAAGAAACAGCTAACTAGCTTGGTCTGTGGGATTCTTTTCTGCATGTTTTAGGGAGAAAAAAAGACTTGGCTATCTCTGCTGAAAATTTGGAGCCATGTCTACCCGCTGCTTCGTTTTCTGCCCCTGCGTCCCCCTGCCCGGCCTCCATCGCTGCCCCGGCGTTGGTGTAGCCCTGCGCGCACTAAGGAGGAGGTGGACAGCAAGTTCAAAGGGTTATTGAAAGCCCTTGGACTTGATGGCGACAAAAGTGCTTCTGTGCAGGTTTCCAGGACAGCAGTGAAGTCTCTGGGGTGAAGGATTTGCTCTGCCGTGCAGGTGGTGGATCCTGTTCCCCGTCCGTAGGATCCCTCGGTAGAGACTGAGATGCCCGGGGTGACGCCTGCCTCTGACCATCAGCACTACCCGAGGGCGTTTAGAGCCAAAAAATAGGGGAAAAATACAATGTAAAGCAGGGCTCTTATTTTTAAATAAGGCTGCAGTGAGATCCCAGCCCCAGGCAGGTGATGTAGGTCTGGGGAGGGCCCGTGGGGTGAGTGAAGGCACTGGTGGGTGCGACAATCACGACGGCCACGTCCCTGCTGCTAAAATACCAGCTGCTCTTCTGTGTTTGTAAGCCATAAACGATTCTGTTCCTATCTTCCTCGGCCAGCTGTCGTCTTCTTGGAGGTACGATCAAGATACCTAGCACACATTAGCGCTGGTTCAGTCCTGGCCAAACTCTTCCCATCCTTCGCTTGTGCTGGCCGAGCTCCCGCGGCCGCTGCTTGTGACTTCATCCTGGCGCAAAGGACCCTGTAGCGTCCCCGTCTCCCTTCCCCATCGCGCGTGACGCACGCACTCGCTCTGGCGCCAAAGGCAGGACATAGGTCAGCAGCTCCCCAAAACCGTTGTTCAGGACTGCGGTGGCTCCCCCTCACCCCCAAAATTGCCTGCCAGCTGCATCCAGGGCTGGGTAGCGGCAGGGTTGGCAAGGAACCGGAGGATCCAGAGGTTAATCCTGGGAACGGTCGTAGCCGAGTGCTGGCAGCGGGTATCCAGGATCCTCTCCACCTGGGCTCGTTCGCCCAGCACCGTATGAACTCAGGGGCCAAAGTATCTGGCCAAAGGCACCGGCTGGTGACTAATTCCAGCAGGGGGGAGGCAGCCGTTTGGTCTCCTCACCCGGCTTTGAGACGGCTCGCTTCTCTAACCCTGCAGCAGAGACGCGAGCACACCCCGAGCTGCTGCGGGGTCCTGCCCCGAGCCGCCGAAGCCTCGTGAATTGGTCAGGGGTAAAGATGCCAAGAAAAGCCATTCAAAAAATGGAATAATTTTTGCTCGCTTCTCCCCACGAACACCGGGGAGCAGCTGGACTGCCAGCTCCGCCGACAGAGGTGTTTGTGTTCGTCCGCTCGCCTTTTGTACGTGTTTTGGTACCTCCAGTGATTGGGAAGATGCGTGTTTTAATCCTGTTCTTTTCCATTAATATGCGAGAAGTGTGAACGTGTTTTGGTACCTCCAGTGATTGGGAAGTTGGGAAGTTGCGTGTTTTAATCCTGTTCTTTTCCATTGATATGCGAGAAGTGTGATGGACCTGTACAGTGGTGACATGGGCTCGGTAAACTTTTTGTATTGATGTTGCTGGGTGTATGTGGCTGATTTTAATCTATTGGATGAGGAAAATGCCAGCGAAGTGATTTGTTGCGTGCGGTGGCTCTGGGAGGAGAACGAAAATCCCCAGATGGACGGGGTAGCAACGGGCCAGTCCTTCCTCCAGCCCCGGTTGCCGGCTGGAAACAAGGGGGGAGATGAAGGGGTCGGAATGGGGGGGGACGAGGAGGATTTTTAATCCTATAACTTGACCTGCTTGTTAGTTAATAACAGCTAATCCGTAATCTCGGGGGGGAAGCGCCGCGGCCGCCCGCTGAGCTCGCTGGAGGAGGAGCGTGTCGGAGGGGCTGCCGAGGTGAGCGCGTGGGTCTCATGGAGTGGGGGGGAACGCCGAAGGGGGGAGACCCCCATGGAGCTGGTCCGTCTCCTGAGGGCCCGCAGCCCTGTTCAGCCTCGCGGTGGGAGCCTGGAGAAGAGGACGACGGAGTCGGGGGCTTGCACTGGCCGCGGCTTGCAAGGCTTCGCGGGGGGGGGG